CAAAGCAATTTATGAAGAAGATTTATGCGGGCTGTACCGCAACACTACGCTTGGCTGCAGTATCTACAAGACCGGTGCCACGGTATCCACAAATCTCAATATCTAAGATGGGGCGACCATCCGCACAAACATCTACAACAGAGTTAACAACGCGCGAGGCGCAGGAGTTGCGAGTGACTGGCGCGGCGCACGCGCCTCCGATGGATGCGCCGTGCTGGTGCCCGCGCGCTGCTCAGGAAAACGCGCTGAACTAGCACGTTGTTCCGGAGACTGCGCCGAACTCGCGCGCTGATCCGAAAGGCGCGTGGTGCTCGCGCGCTGATACGCAGGACGCGCTATGCTCGCGCGCTGTTCCGGAAAGCGCGCACTCGCTGCGCAAGAATATGGCGCGGCAGTTACAGGTGAACCGAACACAGCGGCTGCGCGCGCATCGGGTACGCCACCTCGCTGCTCCAGTGTTGAAAAAACTTCCAGCATGGAATCCTCAGCATTCCTGGCCTTCTCGATGAATTGATCACGGTTCGCGACTGAATCACGTGATATCCGCTCTCGCAAACGATAGTTAAGCAGGCCGTAGATCATGTCTAATGCCATGGCGTCTTCTACGGTGTACGGCAGTTGCGAAATAAGGGCGCGCAGACGCCCGATGAATGTATCTGCACGTTCCTGTCCCTGATCTGTCGCAAATAGTTCTCGGAAAATTTTGTATGGTGGACACGGCACTCCATACATAGAGCGTATCTCTGTATCGCTTCGTCCCATGATGATATAGAAGCTTTCACGCCTCGGTACCAGATAGCAGCCCCTCCTTCCAGCAACATCGGCAGGCTGCGTAGTGCGTGTTCGTCACTCACGTTGGTGCACTCCTTATAAATGTTGACGGCGTCTATGAATGCCTCCAGCGTCTCGGAGTCGTGTGTTCTTCCATCAAAACGCGCCGTACAATGCGCTAGGTTACCGGTAGGTACGGTCGCAGTCACATTAATGGGTGACGAAGGCGCGGCGTTACCGCTGATAAGAGGCAACCTAAGTAGGCCCTCGATCAACTGGCGGTTGGACTCGGCTTGTGCCCTTGCAAACGCTTCCAAAAACGTCGAATAATCTTCGGGTGGTGCACGGGTTTCACTAGCATCATCGGATGCCGGCTCGGTACACACGCGACGTGGCATTTTACAAGTCTATAACGTTATATAAAGATGTAAATATGTTCGACCGCGCACAGCAAGGTAAAAAGTAGGTAGGTAAAACACGCCGTACTCGTTCGACGCATCAAAATTGCCATATAAGGCGCGAGATCGCCCGATTCAAAGTACTCACTACTTGCACTGCACTTGTTTGATTTTGCACTTTATGACATACACAATAAGAGTTCTTCCGAATTCGTGCCCGCTTGGTGCGCCAGTTTGTAGGCTCTTGGATAAATAAAATTGACCGATCTGACTCTAAATTCGTGTAATTCATTTACCGAGAACACAACAAAGGATTCTATCGTTAAATACAACAAATACAACAAACATTTCGTGCGAGCTGTGTGGAAAGAAAACGGCCGTGTGCCACTCATTGAATGCGCCGCGTGAACTGGCTTTGCGCGCGTCGTACATGTCGCGGCAAAGACATAATGTCGGTAGGGCGTTGAGCAGACGACGGGGCGGGGCGGGCATTTTGTCCGCGAAGCAATAAAGACCGCGTCTGCCCGTCGATCTCTGCGGCTGCCCGCGCCGCGTACACAAAGCACACGACGGGCAGAGGCGGTCAGTTCAGGACGTTGGTTCTAGTGAATAGTCCAACACTAAAAAGCGCGTGGCGCGGACTGGGCTGACCGGTCTAGTACCCATTGGACCCTCAAGATTCGACCCAAACGCAAAAAGTACCCATTGGACCTCTTTTTTGGTGTCCATTGGACCTTCTTAAAAAAATTATATTCAATGTGCCCATTGGACCTCTTTTTTGGTGCCCATTGGACCTCCTTAAAATTTTTATATTCAATGTGCCCATTAAACCTCTTTTTAAGTGCCCATTGGACCTTCAAGATTATACTCTACTGCCAGTTGGACCTTATTAACAGTTTTGTTAAGCACAGTACAGTCATGTAGAAAATTGTAGACAAAAATAAAATTAATAATAGGTATTATAAAGCCACTAACTAAATACTTTATAAGTACTGACTCCAAACAGTAAGTAGTCCTAAACTAATTATAAAGAAATCAGGTTACCTTTTTTCTTCGAATTAACGATATTTCGCCGTCCCCGGAGAATAAAAAGATAACTATTATAAGTATAAAAATGTAAGTTTTCAGGAAAAATAAAAATAACTGTTTTTTGTCTATTGCTCTATAAATACTGGACGCAGACAGATGATAGTAACCTTTAAGAAAAGCTAATTTTTAACACATTTGGATTTTTTAGTAAGGTACTCGTACAATAAGATATAAGAGAGATATTGAGAAAATAAGAAGTGAATCAAAAGTAATCAAAATTTAATTTGTATCATGTTTATTTTTATTTTATTCGTATTGACAAGGAGTCAAAACCAAATATTGCACTACTGACATGTATTTTTATTCTATGGTTTATCAGGGTGCAAGTGACAATGATAATACTTCAATATCTTTTTATTTTCGTAAATATTGTAAAACCTTTTTTTCTTTAAAGGACATTATATATGTTTGTGCTTTAGGTTTAAAGGAATGATCATTAATTATATTAATTTTAAATTTAATTACATTAATGATCATTAATGTAAAAAGGTTTCACTCAATAGGGCGATCGTACACTGACCAATAAATACCCTTACAGCGCAACACCAAATCCACAAGACCTTTCAAATCGAACAAAGTTCGATTGATTCAAAGTTCCTTAAAACAGCTTGGATCTAGACAATCTAAGCAATATGACGGTGGATTTTGCAAAGACATCATCTTTTGATCTAAGACTGAAATTCTGAGGGAGATTGAATGTTTTTTTATCGGCAGTTATACTCCTCTTAAGCACCTGATGAAAGGAAGGTTATAGATTCCAAGCCCAAGCAATCTCTGCGCTTAAAAAAAAGGATGGCGTCGATCTCATATGTGGGAGAGAGAGAGAGAAATATTGCTGTCTCGTTCCGATATATGACCTATGTTGCAGCTAGAAAATAATCTTACAATCGTAGGCCATTGCTTAGAAAAAATACTCACATATGTGTCTTAAATATTTAATTTGGTAATTTATAATGTTTTATAAAAGAAGACTGTTAATTTTTTTATGGAGGTTGGTAGTGGGTCTTTCGGCAGACTCCAAGTTTTTATGAGATGCAGCGCACTTAATTATAAATCGTTTGACAAAAAACTAGAATTTTATTTTATCCCGGTTTTTTATATTAAAATAACATAAATCTATCTAATAATTGATTTGCAAATGGCAAGTTTATTTGTCTATTTTTTGTTGCCAAGCATCAAATATATTATGTTCAATGTGTAACAAAAGCAGTGATAATAATTCTGATAATAATTCATGACTGGACTGATTGACATTTGCCATAGTGATTGAGTTGACGTTATAAACCACCACGCACTAAAAATATGACATTACTAAGATAGGGTGGCCAGCATACTTACAGAATTGTTTAATTATTAAACACGATTATAAATTAATCGGTAATGAATAAAAAAATCAAAGTATCTATTCGTGTTATACAAACTTTCTAATTATATATATCCACTTTTGAACCATATCCTTAAGTTATAGTATGTTTTTATAATTAGCAATTTCTCGTTAATTGTAAAAATATGATTAGAAAACATTTTTTTATAAAATGTAATATGAAAATATTACATTGGTATTTTATTTTATGAATATTTAGAATACATAATAATTGTGCTTCAATAGTTAATCTGAGTGATATAAAAACTGTATGTATAATTTAGTTAAGATATCTGATATTCAAAACATTTCTATTTAAAAGTAAAATAACAAAATCTATGATTTGATTATTATATTATATGGTTTGTTGCTGATGATTAATGTTTCGAATTTTATAAATATGTTGATTTTAAATACTTACATTTATAAATTGTGCTTTTATTTATTTTATCAATATTTAGAATATATAATAATTGTGCTTAATCTGTGTGATATAACAAACCATATTTATAATTTAGTTAAGCTATTTGATAAAAAAATAATTTCTATTGTCTTTAAAAGTAAAGTAAAAAATCTGTGATTTGATTATTATATTTTATGTAAATATTTATTTTGGTTTGTTACTGATGATTAGTGTTTTGAATTTTATAAATATGTTGATTAAACACTTAGATTTATAACCTTTGTGTTTTTATGTCTTTTACAATGTTACTTTATTACACGACTGTACTTTACCGTTCCAAAAAAATTAGCCAAATAGTTCAGAGCTGCAATAGCTACCATTGTGTCGTTAAGTACTTCTTTGAGGGTCCAATGGGCACCATGTTCTTGATAGGAGGTCGAACAGGCACTTTTTTATAGGTAAGGTCCAATTAGGAGGGTCCAATGGGTACAAGACCGGCTGACCGCCCCGCGCCGCCGTCTGCGTTACTGCATATAAACTGGTTTGTTTGATCCACGGCGGGCAGCCGCGGACATGCCGCGCCGCCAGTGCCCGCCGGGCACCTGCGGCGCGGTCTTTTTGCCCTCTGTGTGTGTTTGAAGTATAGGATTCACTTTGTGCTATTATTCGCGGCGAAATTGACCGGCCCGCCCCGCCCAGTCGTCTGCTAAACGCCTAAAGGTGCCATGCACGGTGGCGTGTTTCGTTCCACGCACTACACTCTATTCTTTTTATCCAAGCTTCAAAGCATATTCGCACTAATAAAAAAAAAAATAGGCCTTGATGTGAAACATAAATAGCCGCGAATCAACTTTTGGCGTGGCGTCGTAACAGTCAGAGGCTATGTGTATAGTAATTTCGTTAGTCTGCAACGATCGATGAACCCTAAAAATTGTTATGATATCTATGTATTAACATAGACATGAATGTCCCACAGAGCCGACGAGCACTCCAGTGGCGGTGGTGACGCAGGTGCCCATCCTGGGGGCCAACGGAACGGGCCAGCGCTGGACCAACCTATCCGACACCACACCCAAAGTCAGCGATCCTATATCAGCTGATGACAGTAAGTATCCGATCCTACTCATATTGGTATCCATGCTAATATTGTTATTATGAAAGTTTGCATATTTTCACACGAAACAGGTTCTCAGGGACTTAGCTGAAAATTGATATACATGTAGTTTATGACCTGGATTAAGACATAGGATACTTTTAATCGCGGAAAGTATTGAGGTTTCTGTGGGATTCTCAAAAAATAACTATAACGCGGTCAAAGTTGCTGTAAGCTAGTTGACAGACAATAAACAATAGTCCCCTGTTACGTGTTAAAATGGGCGCCAATTGGATAACTCATACTCCTCTCACGATCTGCCTCTTTGAGTTTTGGGAATGGCTTAGCTTACGAGTACGTCACTTGACGTTTGCTTTAGCTTAGAACGGGCTGAAGACAGACACCACCTGATATTTGCCAAAGATGGGATACAAAGTGTGAGAAATCTCAACAAGTTCACGCTGATTCCATCACCGTATACCCTAGACTACAACGAAATACTTTAAAACTATGGCAAACTTGGCTGCAGAATTGCAGTGGATCTTAAGGCATTAAGATTTCCCTCTCGAATTGGAGTCTCTGGGGAAATACTGTCCACCTCATAACATGTGATCGCAATAAAACAACACTAATGGCCTGCGCTAATGAGGAACCTTTGTCCGCGGCTTTTTTCTTTAGGTAAATCGAGCGTCCTGACAGCTGACAAAAGACCATCGTCTGCTCAAACCTAAATAAATGAGTAGAGTTTCCGAAAGCACCACCGGCAAGGGGACAGGGTCAGGGTGAAAATTCCGCGCTAGATGTATAAGTTTTACACACCAACATTGGCTAACAATTATCTTGATTGTTCAATTTGTTGAAGACAAACAGCATGTTACCCGACTGTCGCCTTGAATAAATTGTATCGTATGACATGCCATTCCTTAATAAATGGCTATTGACTTTGTGACGAACGACTTTAGCGTTCAAGTGAATGTCGTTGCTATTATAGTCCAGTCGGAATAGCCATAATTTGGACCGACTTCTATTCTAAGACACCAGCGCTTAGCCAATTTTTTCCTAGGTAGTATAGACCCCCACGAATATACCCTCCATTTGTCCCCGCTAGAACCCGTGTTTTGTAGCCAGGAAAATTGTTTAAACAAAGAAAAACCGGTTTTTTTGAGTTTTTTTGCTTGTAAACGGGGATTTTGAAAATGTTTTTGAATCAAAGTTGTTCATTAGCTTGCCCTCTACAAAATCAGTTCTATGAAAAAATAACGTGAGATTGTTAGTTTAGCAGTAAATTGCAATTATGTCGGTTTTACGTTTGCAACAATTCAACATGTTATAATAAACATTTTGATTTCTAAAGTAGTTTATCATGTGGGTAACGCCACTCCCAAGAGAGTCATGTAAAATTTATCGACCTGTGTTCAAACTTTAGCAACAATTCTCAATCTCCGAAAAAAAAGGACTTGCCTGTCCCGTCTTTCCCAGAAGGCGCACAGCGGGAAAAAAAATTCAGGTGATTCGATTCACCAAGAATTTTGAGGAATCGATCGAGTAGAAAAAAATCGTTAATAAAAATGTTCGTTTTTGGACGATTTAAATTTTTTTTAAAAATTGACGTAGAATAATTTTTTTTTTTAAACTAATGTATTTTTCTCTCCTCAACTCGAATATACTATTCTGAATATATATATATATATATATATATAATATATATATATATAATATATATATAATACTAATATACCCTGAGAATTCCGATTATGAACCGGAAGAAAAAAGGACGAAATTAATTTAATTAGAAATATAGAATACAACGCAGTCTTGTAATCGAATTTTAGTTAATAGTTTTGTAAATAATTTCTGTACATAAATAAACTGATTTTTTTAAATTTTCAATCGTATATTCGAGTTGAGGAGAGAAAATACATTAGTTTAAAAAAAAAATCTACGTCATATTTTAAAAAAACATTAAATCGTCCAAAAACGAACATTTTTATTAACGATTTTTTTCTACTCGATCGATTCCTCAAAATTCTTGGTGAATCGAATCACCTGAATTTTTTTCCCCGCTGTGCGCCTTCTGGGAAAGACGGGACAGGCAAGTACTTTTTTTCGGAGATTGAGAATTGTTGCTAAAGTTTGCGACACAGGTCGATAAATTTTACATGACTCTCTTGGGAGTGGCGTTACCCACATGATAAACTACTTTAGATATCAAAATGTTTATTATAACATGTTGAATTGTTGCAAACGTAAAACCGACATAATTGCAATTTACTGCTAAACTAACAATCTTACGTTATTTTTTCATAGAACTGATTTTGTAGAGGGCAAGCTAATGAACAACTTTGATTCAAAAAAAATTTCAAAATCCCCGTTTACAAGCAAAAAAACTCAAAAAAACCGGTTTTTCTTTGTTTAAACAATTTTCCTGGCTACAAAACACGGGTTCTAGCGGGGACAAATGGAGGGCATATTCGTGGGGGTCTATACTATCTAGGAAAAAATTGGCTAAGCGCTGGTGTCTTAGAATAGGTCTCATGTTTATTCCGACTGGACTATTATTCTTTTGAAGTTATGGTCATTCTGGTTTCCCTTCTTAACCGCATCTCATGATAACCTGACCAAGTAGTTGCGGAAGAGAATGTAATACTAATAGAAAGAATATTGTATGGCTACTAAATAGATTATTTTGTGTAAGTACTTTGCGACAAAACGATCGTAAAAACCGGCCAAGTGTAAGTAGGTCGCAAACAGTAGTACAATCCCCACAGTACAATCTTTACAACTTGATCGAGCTGAACTAGTCGAAAAATGATTGTTTCATGTGTGATCCCTCCTAAAATTTTCAACTTTACGTGTTTCTTTTTAAAGGCGTCCACAGTAATACGCATTCTATGAAAATTTCAGGTGTCTATTTCAACATATTGTAACGTACCGTCTGTTTGTTATACTTTGGGTACGAAACCCAAAATCCATTTCCTGTTACGGAGAGAAAAGAACTTGGAAGCAGAGTCTGTTTGAATGATTAAATGCGTATAATGGTGTGGTAATTATAAGAATTCAATCATTTAAAATGAATTTCCAAGATATAATTGAATGGTCTTAATATGCAGGCTGAAAGACACCGTTCTATAATTATAATACCGTGTCGAGTCGAGTGTGTTTAATTGATCAGCTGGTCGTGTACGCAGTTCGTTTAACACACATCTGCCGAGTGGGTTTGTCATCGTTGTATTGTGATACCTGTACTTAATTTGCCAAAGGCAATGAGTATCATTACTAGATCAGCAAATCAACTCAAAATCAACAGTATAATGATCTGATAAGCCTTTTAATTAATATACTTTTTAAATCATCGAAATCGGTTCATTCGTAGCGATTTTATCGTAGCCAATATTCACCGGGCGGCCGAAACGTATGACGCCACAGAGCTCGATCGTGGTTCACTCCGGTCGAGCTTTAGTAGTGTCTACGCACGCTCGCGCCCGAGCGCTAGAGCTCTGTGACGTCACAGTCACCACACGGCCAGCCGAAAATTCGTTCAGTAATTTGTTCGTAACTTCGTCAATATTGTCGTAAAACAAAAATTTTACCACTGTATTTTATGGAATCTCATTACGCACGCAACTCCGACAAAATAAATCAGAACTCAGTTAATCACACTATGGAGGTTAGCTTGCTTAAAGAAATTCGATCCTGAGCTCTGATGCTAGTTATTTATAGATAGATAGATATTGTTTGTTACTGTTATATTTCTTGTGGAAAATCATGTTTTCAATACTCCACGGAGTAGGGGATTGGGTTCAGGCTGGGAATGTGATTTTTGAGCCGTATCTGCTATATTTGCAACTACTCCAATCACACTTAACGTAAAGTTGTGGTCCTTTCCTTCATCATACGACGATCGTATTCAAAGGAGAATGGTCATTTTACTTTGGGAGTTGGGCTAAGTTTTTTTCATTGCGTCTTATTGGAATAAGTGTACAACAATAGGGAATCAGGTGTATATTGCGTAGGAAAAATATCATTAGAAACTTAAGTAGTGGTTTAAAGAAAATATTAAATTACGTAAGCATTTTAAGGTTATGTCATATTTAGATTCGATTAAATTCGATATTTATACCATACTTAATTATTACTAGGTATACTACTTTAAACTGTATTTAATTAGGTTGTGACCTTTTGTCTTCTATTTTGGACTGGGAGTGAAACAAAAATTGAATGCACTTCGTAAAATCTTATCAACGGGCAGCGTATATTTGTTAACTGTTGCGTTGGTGAGCTGCTATCTATCTCTATTTATTCCAAACATCTCAGATTCAATAAATGTGGCGTTGTTGAGGTGCGGTTATATTAGTGCTATTTATACTTATTCTCTTTACGCTCAAGCTGCACCTTTGATGCTCTGTTAACCCAACAATGGATATAATATTATTTAAGGTTTAGGAATCAAAAATAAATAAGACAAAATATTTTAATAATGATAATCATTTATTGATAACACATTTATCCAAATCGACATTATTAATGTGATATTTTTATTTTATATTTTTGGGGTTATGCCGTATCCAGTGGAACTGTAATCTTTTGTAACTCGCCACCATGTCCTGTTGAGTTTGAAATATCCAGTTAAAGCTCTGCTAAGTTCAATTAACACAGCAGTTTATACATTAAGCGTGCTCTAATCCTGGTTTATATATTGCCTTTTTTTAAAAAAGAATTGACTTATATACCTTCTTCAAATACCTCATCTAAAAATGTAGCTGGAGCATGTGTATCGTTAAATCGCCCCGAGCTAAGGTACCAAACTACCGTCATTACGTGTGCGCAACATCCTACTGTCCTTTTGCTTACAATACAACTGCAGCAATAGCCAACTAAACAACTTAGTGAGTTGGCTATATTGGTGTCACGGCTGACTAAAATGTAAACAAAATAGGTGCGTCCACCAACATGTCTAGACTTAATACGTCCTCTAAGCAGATAATTGTTTAAACCTAATACAAGGGGAACAT